ACTCCCTGGCTCCTTGGCTCTCCTAGTGTCCCTGTCTATGGAGCTTTCTTGTATGTCGGCCCCTGGACATGCTCCAGTCAAGTGTTTCCCCATCCCATTAAGTAAACAGCACGTTTTAGTAACTTCCCCATTAAATAAAAAGCACGGCTTTTTTTACATGACACTAATGCGCATTAAAATAGACTAACGTGCGTTGAAGTGCATGTGTAGACGTGCCCTTCAGCACCAAAGGCAGGGCTTGGTGGATCGCTAAGAGGCCTAAGCCCTTTGTTGGCTCTGGGCTTATGTCCTTAAAGCTCCATAAGCTGATGTGAGCTCGTTTCCCAGAGCCGGCTCCCCTTGGCTCGACCCCACCTTCGACAGGACTGTGCCAAGGAAAGCTGAATAATCCTAGACCAGGGAGATCTGGGCAACGAAACTGCTCTTAGGTTTCAGTGGAGATCTTTCCTCAAGTAGGAAATAGCTGGGAACAGTCTTTTTCCCCACCACCCCATGCACAGCGATGGGACGATGGCCTCCGTGGAGTCAGAGATAAAATTCCCCATGAACGCCAATGATCCACCCACGATCGGCACCTTTTGGCTGCAGGATTGTCAGTGTCCACCCTTGGATGCCGTGGCTCAGCCCACGCACATCCTGTGAACAACGGCACGAGCATCCCACGACAGCTACCTACAGCTGGAATTGGGCTGGCCAGCGAAGGAGGGGTGGAAAGGGCGAGTGGGTTTTGGCACAGCACCAAAATCAATCTGTGCTGAATGCGATCTGGGAGGCTTGGTGAGATGGGACAACATGGGATGGACTATTGGGTCTGACCCAGTTCGGCACCGCTAACCTTCTCTGCGCGTGTAGAGAGCGTAGCCCATCCCTCGCCTGCCTCGATGGGCAGGGTGATGCCAAGGGGCCGTGACTAAACGACAGGATGAAACCGAGTGCGAGGAAATCCAGGACGAAGGCCGGTCAGGAAATGACAGCTGTGACAGCCCGTGACTGAGAGAGGCATGGGAATCGGCGTGTTCTCCGGCACACCGCAGCCAGCTGGGACTAAAGGTCTGAGGTCTCAGACGCTCCTCTTGCAAGCGCTTTGATTCAGGGTGCTATTAGGGTGAGGACACAACTGAGGGGACCTCAAATGAGTCTGCAGGGCTGGAGGAAAACAACCGTGCTTTTTACTTAACGCACATTAAAATAGGCTAATGCTCATTAAGCATCACTTAAAAGCATGCTTTTTAGGTAATGCAGAATAAGCCAGGCTAATGTGCATTTTCCTAGTACTTCACAATGGAGAGTCTAGATTTAATGTGCATTAGCTAAAGTGCATTAATGCATGTGTAGACCAGCATGCAGCCCCACCACCCTCTCTGGACTTTGGGGTCTCTAAACTCTCACCCCAAATGCCGCAGCCTGGGGCTGGGGAAGCGAGAGCACGTGGAGCGCATGGAACAAGCCCCTGCAAGGGCTCAACGTTACGACGAGCAACAGCAGAGCTGGTGCCACTGCCGATGCCCGCTCCTCGCACACCTTTCCACATCTAGTTCAGGGTCAAAGTCTGCTGCGGTCGGAGATTTGCCTTTGCCGCCCTCCATGTCTTTAAGGCACTAGAGGAAAAGGACGACGTTTTGCAGGAGAAAGAAATCGTGTCTATCGTAACGAATCTGCAAGCACCCAGGATGCCAGGCTGCCCGCAGTGATCCGATCTGAATGTAATAGCGACAGCAGGGACCAAACTCCTGCTCTGGGCACATGAGTCTTTGCCGCTTGAGCTAAAGGGATTCTCCTTTTGCAGAGGGCAGTATAGGGCCTATGGTACCTCACTGAGCCTTGCAGCAGCAGGCAGCAACTGCACGTGGTATCTAATGCTCCCGTGGCTCACAGGCCACAACATCAGCATCGCGCTTGACTTCTCCTCCAACATCTGGGGGGCTGGACCCGATGATCTCTTGAGGTCCCTTCCAGCCCTACACTTCTGTGAATCTGCTTTGCCTTTTTAAGTTCCCCTGGTCACAGGCAACATCCAAGTGTCTCTAGTGCAACAGGATGCTTCTGAGCCACGCATCAGGGACGACGCGTCTAATCCATATTTCTAAGACCCCAGCCCTGTAGTAGCCAGGGAGCTGATATCATTGCCACCCTCCCCTGAATGAGATATCCATCACCAGGCAGCACACAACGAGCACGCACTTGCTACACGGCCTGGGTCTGGGGACTGAATACAGCCTCTAACACATCGAGGGAGAGCTCGTGATACGTCAGTTCCCGAGGAAGCCTTTAAAGCCAAGAGACAACGGGAAGAGAGGGAGAGTGATGGGGAGCAAAGGCAGAGGGACATGGAAGACGAGATGCAGGGGAAAGGAAGGAAGGAAAGGCCGGTAGCAGAGAGAAGTGGCCGCAAGGCCATGCAGTCTCACCGCTCAGCTCACGTAGCGGTTGCTCAAGTATCCGGACATAGGACACTCGGGTCCAGCTCCAGGCCGACAGGCTTCACACTCCGCTCAGGGAAAAGACACCGGAGATTTGAGAACCCGACGGAGAAAAGGAAGCGAGCGGTGGAGCAGGGAGAGGACACGGTCAGCAGTAACCGCAGGTCCTGCAGGCTGTCTGGGCCCGGTTCAGGGGTGTTTGGTGATGCAGAAGACCAGTTTGTGCCATGACACCTCAAGAGACCAGGTGCCAACACCCAGCCACTGCCGCCTGCATCAGCGCTGGACCCCAGCCCTCTGTGCTCAATTAAAGTGCCCATCCTCCTGAATCCCCCGACTTTTGGGGCTCTGTCCCAGTAACCCTGAAATGGGAGTGTGTCCCCAATCTGGGAAATGGGAGTGTGAAGCATCGGCTGGAGGGCAGAGCTAACCAGCCCAGGTGATCCTGCTTCCCGTTCGGGGACAGCGTGGGCCGGGGTCACAAGCACCCCGCAGCCTCCCTGCACCTGCCAGCACCGGAAGGGGTGTAGACTCTTCCCAGGCTCAGGGGCCTGCCGTGGGCCTCACATTGGTGGAGTATCACCGAGTGTGACCCCAGGCCGATAACTGGGATCAGGGTCCAGACCAGGCAGCTCCTCTCCCGCAGCAGGGAGCATGGCACAAACACCAGGCTGCCGGTGCAGCTTCACACCCAGCCGGTGCCCGGCGGGCACGTGGCTCTGTTGCCATTGGAAGCAAGTGCCAGCAGCGTCTCTCAGAGATAAGAGAGGGAAGCTGGAGAAAGAGGCCGAGATAAGGGGCTAAAATTAGCCGAGTGCCTTATTGGATACAGGTAGGAGGAAGCCGGGCTGTCCGAAGGGCCCCTGGCAGTCACATATGCGCAGGACACGGAGCCACAGAGCCAGTCTCCTCGTCATTCGGTGACGGCAAGAGCAGAATCATCCCTCCCCGAGTCCAGGCTCCTGTTCCCAGCCACACCGGCGATTTGTTGTGCGAACCGCCCTGTGCCTCAGTTTCCCCACCCGTTACACGACGATGCTGACCTCCAGCCCAGGGAGCAGCAGGGTTTGCCGCCACCTGCCAAGCACTCAGGCGTGGGGAAGGGAGTTGGAGAAATGTGAGCTGCTCTAGAGATGTGTGCAATGACACTTGCACGGACCCAGTGAGCTCCTGTCTGCGACACCCGCAGTTCAAGCGTGGGAGCTGCCAGACTGAATCAGACCCACCGGCCGCCTTGTCTGCTGCCAGCAGCCTTGGAGGAAGGCACCGTTAACCCTGCAGTAAGCAGCAATGCAGTACCCATTGCTACGTACTGAGAGATCAGGTTGTGGCCTGAGCACGGGTCAGTCTGAGTCCCTCTCTGAAACCCCGGTTTCCATCTCCTTCCTCCAGCCTTCAGCTGAAGCCACCACTCCCCCGGGAACAGGCTGCCAGAGCCTTTGAAACAGAGCTCCCTTTCTGTCCATGGACTGGGAAACACACCCCGATGTTTGCTATCTGAGCAGCTGATGGTTTTGCAATAGGCTGGAAAAAGCCAGCAGCTGTATCCTCTGTGCATTGCTCCCAGCCCCTCTGCAGCGGCCCAGACATGTGGTCCCCATCACATGGCCTGTGTGTATAATTGCTGATCGCCCAGAGAAGAAGAACAGCTGGCTCTCGGGGAGGCAATGATTTCTGCTTGCAGCCTATGCTGGATTTTCCAGCAGGGTGAGGAGCGGCACAAGGAGGCCTGGTGACTCAAGAGAGATCAGGCAGGGGGTGGGGGAGTGATGGATCCTGACTAAACCAGCCCTTGGCTACGCTGGGATACCAGCTCCTGGTGTGAGGCCTGGGGGTGCTGTTGATTCATGCTGGTGCGAATCAGGTCTGCGCTAGGGCAACAACATAGGGGTCACAGCTAAAGTACCGGGAGAGATGAGGCATTGTCATCATTATCATTGCAATAACACCCTCCCACTCTTGCTTAGCTGGTAGATCGCAAAGCACTTCAGTGTCTTTATCTCCACAAGTGGGGAAGCAAAGGCGGAGAGGCTAAGTGACTTGCCCAAGGTCACCTAGTAGATCGGAGGCAGAGTCGGGAATAATGCGCCAGTCTCCCATGTCCTGAATCCATGCCTTCCTCACTACCTGGCCTGGCCTCCCGAGGACATGGCCACGTTCCCCTAGCTCTGCGTGGATTTATCTCGTAGACTAGAGGGGCTGGGGAGGAGAGAAGGGAAGAGCCCGAGTAGTTCCCTGGATGTCACCCTCGGCACATCTTTTGAAGCAAAAAGACGGTCTCTGCCTTTTAGAGCTTGTGGTCCCGATTCAGACTTCTGCTGATACCCCTCAACCCCCACCCCCAGGCTATTCCAGCCCTGGGGTCCTCGCTGACTGAGCAGGATCTCCCTTTTTGCTCTTCCAGCTCTGGCCTCCCCACTCGCAGCCCTGACAGCACCACATCCACATGCTATAGACCCAGCCCTTGGCCAACATTAAAATCCAGGAGCTAGCGCAAGCTCCCTCTGCTCCTGACAACGACTCCTGAGCTATCGCCTCGCCACGTCTGCCTTTGAGAAACAAGCCGGGCTCTGCTCTTACCTGCTGCTGGCTCTGCTCCTCCAGGTTCAGCTTGACCTCCAAGGACTGCCGTGCTTCCAGAAAGGCTTTGCGGTGCTTGCGGTCGGCCATGTAGTAGGACATGATGCCCACGGTGATGGTGCACAGGTAGATGGCCACATTGGACAGGATCTTTCAGGAGAAAGAGAGAGAGAGTTAGTCATCGGTGAGAGAATGGGGAAAAACAGCTGTCTAGGCAGGCATGATCCTGTTACGGCGCAAGGGGTTGGATAAGATGATCCCCCAAGGTCCTCTGTAGTCCTACACTGCTATGCCTGTGGCTGTCTGCACTGCTCATCCCCCTCAGGTGCTAGACCCGCCATCTCCCACATCATCCCCACCATCCCTGACCAGCTGAATACACACGGGCTTGCCAGACTGAATGAGCCCCCAGTGCCTCGTGCCCAGTGTCTGGCACTTATGGGTGCATCTACACATGCATTAACGCACTTTAGTTAATGCACATTAACAGTGCCTTGTGCCCAGTGTCTGGCACTTATGGGTGCGTCTACACATGCATTAACGCACTTTAGTTAATGCACATTAACAGTGCCTTGTGCCCAGTGTCTGGCACTTATGGGTGCATCTACACATGCATTAACGCACTTTAGTTAATGCATGTTAAATCTAGTACCTCCCTTGTGAGGTACTAGGAAAATGCACCTTATCCCAGCTTAATGTGCATTAGCAAAAGCACGTGGGGCATTTATACACATATTTTTGTTCCAGAAGATCCGCTACTTCGGAGCAGACTCGATTAATCTCGTCTTCTCCGCACACAAGCTGATGCGCATTTCACTGCTTATACAACTTTTCAAAGCGCCCGGCGCTGTGATGCACACATATGTAAAAATGCCCACAGTTTTGAGTGACGCTTTAATGCATATTTGCCTATTTTAATGCACATTAGCAACAGCGCACAGTTTTTAGTGACACTTTAATGAGCATTAAAATAGGCTAGTCCACATTAAAGTGCATGTGTAGATGCGCCGTGTGGGATTGGTTCTGAAACACCGGGCCCAGTTCTGGGCTCTGGGCTCCCAGGAAACTGCCGAAAAACTGGCGAGGTTTCAGAGAAGAGCCACGAGAGTGACTGAGGGACCGGAGCCAGATTGGAGCCCAGGTGCTGAGTTGGCCCCAGTCTATAAACACCTCCATGGGGACCCAAATGCTGGTGATGGGCTGATGGAGCCGGCAAACATTGCAGGGGGGTTGGACCCAATAATCTGGAAGGTCCCTTCCAGCCCCTAAAAAGCTATGAAACTATGAAACCAGGTGCAAGGGCCAGGAGCTTGAAGCCAGACCAGCTCGGGCTAGACAGAAGGCGAGGACGGTTAGTGGCAATGTCATTGCCAGGCCTGAGCTGGATCCAGTCATGGGCCATTTTTAAGGCAAGATGGCGGGGGAGAGAGGCTCTAGTCCACACCAGAATAACTTCAGGGACGTCCAGAGGGCCTGTGGGATACAGGGAGGAAGATGAGGTGGCTACAGGGGACCTGTCCTGGCCTGAATTGGATGTTGTGGAGCCCTGCTGCTTGGTTCAGCTCTATAAGAAATCCAGAGGATCCCACCTGGAGCCATCCCATGTCTCAAAGCATCACAGAGAGGGGGTGACAGATCGGAGATCCTCCGACACCAGCGCTGCTGGGGGAACCAGAGGAGACACACAAAGGACCAGGATGCTCAGATGCCAGAGCCTGTGGAGAGGGCTGGAGGCTCAGCACCCCACGGGCTTACTAAAGTACCATGGGCAGGGAGCAGCGTGAACTCTCTTGCAAAAACAGCGGGACACAGCTCTGGCGATGTCTCTCGCCCACCCATCTAGCCCAGCGCCCCGCTCCAGGCAGGAGCAGCCCAGACTACCCCATCCCAGCCAAGTGTCCGTCCAACCTGCTCTTGAAAGCTGCCAAGGATGGAGATGCCACTGCTTCTCTAGGTGCCCGTCCCCATGCCTGACCACCCTCCGCGTCAGAAAGTTCATCTCCAACCTCAGTCTCCCCTGCTGCAGCTTGAGGCCACTGCTCCTCGTCCTGGGCTTTCGGTAAGAGTAGACCTGCGGTGTGCGCCTGCCTTGTGCCGACAAGCTCCAGGCCTGGAGCAGGAGCCCCTCGCATGAGGTCCTGCTGCTCTCGCGCCTCTCCCCGGCTGCCAGACAAACACCCTCCTCCTTCGCAGCAGGGGTGGCCAACCTACAGCACAGAGCACAGGGCAGGGAGCAGAAAGCAGAGCAGGAGACCAAGTAGGGGAACTCTCTAAAGAAGGACCAGATACCCGCAGCTGACATGGCATCTCCCCACGGGCTCCCCTTGATCTACAGAAACCTCCAGCCCGATTGCCCCTCGCTTCGGGTGCAGTCGTTCGCTCTGCCGGGGAGATCCTGTCTCAGCGGATCAGCTTTGGCTGCCCGACTCGCCGGCCCTTTGCAACCCAGACCCCTTGGAGGCATCCACGACCCCCAGCCGCTTTAGAAGACCTTGGCCGCTCTTCATGCCGAGAGCAGGAGAAAGTTGTTTCTAGCACGCACGCCAAGTAGCGGCGCTCGCTGTTTTTCGTGCGGCCTCGCGGCCCTCCCGGCTGCCCTTGGGGAGCAGAAGTTTAACTTCTCGTCATTAAAACTTGTTTAGGTGTTTTGGAAAAAGTCGGCAGGTTCTCCAGTCTCCGGGGTCCTGCACAGGCCCCCGGGGAAAGGCGCTTCTTCACGATCACACGCCGCGGAGCTGACAGCGCCGAGCATGGCGACAAGGGGCCAGCACTGGAGCGGGTGTAAGCAAGTCCACGGAAAGAAAGGCGTTGCACCCGTTTTACACCTCTGCTCTCTCTGTACGGCCGCACGCCTGGACAGTGCGGGCTCTCTTATGCAGCGGGGGCTCTCCCTGCTGCAAGCCATTGGGCTACAAGGTGCAAGGGGCCATACTTTGTGGGGCATCATGTGCAGTTACGACTATCCAGAGAGACATAATAGAGCCTCCTGAGCATGTGCAGGTGGGAATAGGATCTACAGGCCTCTTGCATAGCAGCATTTGGATGCAGAAGCAGCGCTGAGATGCCTTTAGGAGAAACAGGATTTGGCCCATAGACCTTATTTCAGACCACAGGAGGGGACAGCATCTCCCAGGCCATCGAGTCCAGTGTCCTGCATTCACAGGCACCCATCTACCCATTGCTGTCCCTCCTAAGTCAGGGCTTTGCACTTGTCCTTGTTGAGCCTCATGATACTCTTTTAGCCCAATCCTCCAATTTGTCTAGGTCACTGAACCCTAGCCCGATCCTCCAGTGAATCTACTCCTCCGCCCAGCTTGGTGCCACCTGCAAACTTGCTTGGTATCATTTGCAAACTGTGAATGCGTGGGCTGGCATGGCTCACTGCTCTCGGGACTGATTCCCACGTGGAAAATGATTTTCAAATGGCCCCTCCTTATTGCCTGGGGCGCCCTGCATGGGTATGGTTTTAGGAGCACAGGGCTGGAAGGGGTCTCCCTGGTCACTGAGTCCAGCCTGCTGCGATTGCAGGTGACCACACAACAAAGCCTCTATCCATGAGAACTGCCCACTCTCACCCCTCCTGGACACCACGGGCACAAGACGCCAGATGACGATAAAACTCTCTAAGGAAGGGAGCCACAGAGACCAAACACCACCTTTCTCCTTGCCTGCTTTCCTTCCCTGCACCCTGCAGCAAAGCCTGCACCCTGCAGCTGCAGGGGCGGGAGCTGGCATCAGGTCCTCCTGGGGCATCAACCAGCTCATGGCCCAAGGGGCAAATACGCCGAAGGAGGCCACACCAAAGAAGGGCTTCATTTGAAGACAACAGGCATTGCTTTGGCTTCAAGTTGACTCGGTCTTACTAAGGTGAGGTGGGGGCATATCAGCTAACGAATGCGTGCCAGCGCTCATGCCGGAAAATGCAAGCAGGCGTCTGCATACATGCCGCTCAGCAAAGCCTGGCATAACCTGCAGACGCTTGACAGAGGGCAATGATGCATAGGAAGCCAAGAACCCAGCTGGACTCTCCAAACCCAGGGGAGGCTGGTCGGGTTTGCAGGCTGTGACGATGAAAAGGATCTCTGCACGGCTAAGTAGAGTGTGTTCGACACGGGGATGCCACAAACACCGGGCAGCGCCAAGGCCGTGCATGTGCCAAGCCCAGCTGCACTTGAGTAATCAGAGGAGGACCCCCAACTCATGATCTCTTGTGGGAATGATGCAAGGTATCTTGCCACTGTGTCAAAAACGGTTCCTGACACGAGGTTGAGTGAGATACTAGTGAGAAGGCTCCCAACACCTCATCTCCTGCACTTTGAACCTTTCCTTGGGGTTGTCCCTGAGCATTTTTTACAGCTCTCTTCCCCCTGTTCGCGGCCTAAGCCCAGCTGCCCTGTGCGACCCAAAAAGCCGTCCCTAAAATCATAGAAAACGGGGGTTGGACGGGACCTCAGGAAGTCCCAGTTTTATTAAAAACCATCGGGACTAGGGGAGGACCCCTGCATGCAGTCACACATGTCGCAGAGAGCCAAGAGGAAGACGACGGAGCCATTCAGAAATTCCCTTCTCCTTCAGCTGCCCCCAACACTTGACCCCTTATCCCTCCTACTCCACAGGCAACCTCAGTCCTCTTACGGCCCCCCCGGTCTCCCAGGCATAGGGATATGGAGTGCGGTAGGGCACTTCGGTCCCGCTCCTCACATACAGGTGCCCTGCAGCCAAACTGAATGGGGATTTGTCCAGTCAGGCTAACAGCAGCCGGAGAACAGGGCTAGGAGCACCGGTGTCCCAATCCCAGCTCTGACACAGGCTCTCTCCATGGCCTTGGGAGAGTCACCTGACTGCTCCATGCCTCAGTTTCTCCCCCCACAACAGGGCGGTGCAGGACAGGTTACTTGCCTCCCTTCCGGGGAGCTTAGCGTTGTGAGGATGAGTGAGTCCATGTTTACAAAGCACCGGAGAAATGCGGAGTATTATTAGGTGCCTTTAGCAACGGTGCACAGTCCCGGGGGACTCGAACACCAGTGGCCAATTAGTGCAGTGAGCGGAGGTACACGTGCTCCTTCCGCCGCTCCTCCGCTCAGCATCCCGCCACGCGCCTGGACGGTGCGGGCGCTCCTGTGCAGCCGACGTCTCTCCCTCCAGAGCCC